CATCCATCCATCCATCCATCCATCCATCCATCCATCCATCCATCCATCCATCCATCCATCCATCCATCTCTCTGCCTGCCTGCCTGCCTGCCAACCAACCATCTCTGTGTTTCTCAACTTTACAAGTTGGATGGACTTACCTCCCAGAATTCCCCCGCCAGGTATTTTGGCTGGGGAATTCTGGGAGTTGAAGTCCACCCATCTTAAAAGTTGCCAAACTGGAGGAAACACTGCTTTAAATTGAATCTAGAGTCTGCAAGTGAGTCACAACAGCCGTTTCCAATACATTTATGGGAGCAGGAGTCTCTCTCAGCCCTTTGCAAAACTCAGCCACGCACTGGACACAACTGCATGCAGATGTTTCAAGCGCCTTTCTCCCCTATCAATGCTGACGCTCAACCGCTGCTGTCTTCTGCTCTCTCCACAGGGGCCCCACCTCTTCTGCTATGGATCCCGGGTGCAAGTGTCGGCTGAGCGAGGCAAAAGCCGACCCCAACAGCGGAAAAGCTCCGAGGAGGACAAACGGCCACAAGACAGAACTGGGGCCAAGAAAGCCGTCCCAAGCCCAGCCAACCCCTTGGCCTGGCAAAGGAAGAACTTCACCGCTGCTAAGAACGCCCAGCCCGTCCCCGTCCCCCACAGAGGTGGCACAAGCACCCCGAGAGCCACTGGTCAGCCCCTGATGCCACTCCCCGAAGGCCAGGGGTCAGCCAAAGAAACAAGGACTCCGCTGGGCATCCCTCTGTCCAAACTCTCCCAGTCCAAGCACCTGAAGAGCAAGACCTCCCAGTGGGAGTCCAAACGGAAGCCCCCGGGGACCACCCACCCCAAGGACCAGTAAGGCCGCTGGAGGCAGCCGAAGGACCAATGGAATGGGGTGGAGGGGGGGGGGCGCTGGGCTGCTTTGCAATTACCTGGTCAGTGCACCAGTACCACGTGGCCAAGACAGTTAGACCCAGAGTCATGCCCGTCCAGGGCAAGTCTCCGCTGGTGGGATCCCGGAAGAGATGCATCGCGTCCCTCCTGGGCAGGTGGCAAGTCGTGTTGGGGACAATCTTTGATGGGACGGCGGCTAAGTAGGCCTCCTCCAGGTTGTGGTAGCCCCCAATCTGTTGGAAGGCTGCCCAAAATAAAAATAGCAATAGCAGTTAGACTTATATACCTCTTCATAGGGCTTCCAGCCCTCTCTAAGC